TCCAGGATTTTGCCGATAATGGGTAAAAGAGAGATAGGACGGTAAGAGGATGGGTGTTCTGGCGGCTTTATGAGTTTAGGTATCATTTTGACAATGGATAGTTTCCAAGAGTCAGGAAAATATGTGGTTCGGAGTACAGCATTATATATATAGGTAAGGAATAGTATGACTTTCTTAGGAAGCAGTTTTAGGCTCTGGGATGTGATTAGGTCATGGCTAGGAGCTTTGCGGGAAGGAAATTTATGAATGATATTTCTGAAGGATGAAATGCTTTGGGTGGAGAAGTCAGTCAATTGGAGTGGGATATCCTCAAGCTGGGTTGGATTAAGGATATCTTGGTGTGGATTAAATGTTTTAAAGACGTGCTGAGCAAATATTTGAGATTCAGTAATAAGTGGGTGGTTAAAATCTTTGAATTTAAGGAGCTTTTTAGTGGTCAACCATAGTGATTTGTCAGTAGTAGTAAGTTTTTCTGTCATGTTAAGTAAATTTTGAACTTTGTGTTTTCTAATTTCAGCTTTTAGTTGGTTAATTAATTTGTTATAATGTCTTATCTGATGGGTATCCAGTCCTTTGCCACTTCGATCTAGCTCTGCGTTTTTCCCTTAATAAGATACGAATATGCTGTGGCAAATTTGTCTGTTGAGAGTTGTTAATTTTATTGGTAGATGTATTATCGTTTATTTTGTCACTTATAGTTGTAGTAAGTACTTCTATGGCTGTGTCAAGGTCATGTTTCGCCTTAAGTGAAATATTTAGGTCCAATTTCTTTTCCAGATCTTTACGAAATTTGTCCCAGTTTACTCGTCCTGTAATCAGTGTAAGAGAGGCCGAAAGCTTAGGAGCGAAGGTTAGTCTCAATTTAAGTTCCAAATTATTACTAGGATTACGTAACGTGAGATGGAAATAACTGACGATGTTTACGTGGCGAGAGCAATGGACACACAAAATGCTGTTCCACAGCGTACTCGAAAGGAGCAGTCAGAGAGGATTATGTATAAGGACTGAGTGAGATGGATTTTAAGCTTGAATAGCAGCCCGGGTTGCCATACACGATCGAAATCCTGTGCTATGTCCAGAAATGCATCCGGACAGTATTGCTTGTTTTGTGAAAAGTCCTTGTTGAACAGTGAAATGTTTTGAGCAAAAACCAAACAGATCGGAAGGAAGATTTTAGGATTATATGAGGGGAAGGATTCGTTACAAAAGGATCTTTTCAAATATTTTTGAAAGGATTGGGAGTAGGTTAATTGGTCTATAGGATGTCAAGCTGTTGGGAGGTTTGCCTGCTTTTGGGAAAAGGATAATAGTGGAGTGTTTCCATAATAGAGGTGGTATGTAGGATGGAATTGTAGATATATGCAAGGAATATGACTGCTTTGGATGGAAGTTGTTCAAGGATCTGAGGGGTAAGGAGATCATATCCAGGAGATTTATGGGGGGTTAGCTTTTGTGATTGAAATTTCCCTTCGGAAGAATTAATTGCTTTAGGGGGCGAGGAAAGTGGAATAGGTGATGTAAGAAATTTTTCTACTGTTACGTTGTGGGCGGCATAGGATTCCGGATGGGGAATAAATGTATTGGAGAGATGTATACCTCGTATTATTTTAATAATGTGAGATAGTTAAATATTTAAAATACACCATATTAAAGGTACTCTAGAGGAAAACGTATTCAAAAATTGGGCATTTAAGTCCTGTAAAGTGACATAAATGGGGATAAGACGTAATTGATATTAAAGACCGATTAATTATACAATGATACATCGAGTTTAATCAAAATCATTTGAGCCGTTTTTGAGAAAATTTTAAATATGTGTTTCACCGTTGATATAAAGTGTCACTTTCGATTAGCCTATTTTAAGGAAAACGTTACTGTAACATACAAGGTATATAAAAAGCTTAAATATGAAATTTCACTCTCGTAAGACTTTTCATTTTTGAGCTAGAATGCTCACACACACCGACACACACCATTTTGCGGGACTTGGTTATTTGGACTCATGAGACCTCAAAACATGTATTGCCGTTGAAAACTCAGAGTCGAAAATTTTCACGATCGCAATACCGTCCCTTACTATATATTTCATATATAGGTAAGTGAAAGTAAAAAGAACAAACCGTGGTTCGATGGAGATTGTTATACATGTGTGATAAAAGAAAAGCTGCTGAATTAAAAGCTCTAAATAATTCTAGCGTAGACAATCTGGAATACTTTCGAGCCTCAAAGAATGAAACGAGGAAATTGCTCAAAAATAAAAAAGGGAGTATCTTAAAAATAAAATAATAGAAATAGAAACTAATAGAATCGAAAATAAGGTAAGAGAAGTGTACAAAGGTATAAACAGATCACGTAAATGTTTAGGGCCCGTCACGTCTGGAATTAGGGATGAAAATGACAATATTCTGACCGATCCGGTAAACATATTAAATAAATTTAAGAACCACTTTGATAATATTTTAAATATGGGAAATTATGATATGTGTTCTGCTTCTGAGTACCAGGGTGCTGAACCGTTGACAGAAGAACCGAGTAAAGAGGAATTTGAAGTAGCTATCGGAAAATTAAAATCTTATAAAGCAACGGGAATTGATAATACTCCTAGGGGGAAACTGGAGTTTCTAAAATATATTTGTTGGTTAAAAAGATCTGGGAGAATGAGAAATTATCTAAAGAATGGAAAGAATCTATTCTTATTCCGATTCACAAACAGGATACGAGGATGGATTGTTATAACTATTCAGGAATTTCACTCCTTCCGGTATGATATAAAATATTCACTTTAATCTTAACCAGTTGAATCACGGAATACGCCGAGCAAATTATCGGAGACTACCTGTAGAGTTAATGCATGCTATCTGGCAGCACTGTAGCTGTTGTAAACAAAGGCAGATTGTCTTGGGTGAGGTTACCCAGACGGTAGTAGTCTTTTGTTCCTGATAGTGTGATGAATAGATGAATAGAAGTGTTTTGTGTATTTGTGGCAAACGTTTTTCAACATACCTTCATTTGTTTTCTGAAATGATTTCCTGACATCACACCACCAATGCGGATTTAGACTATTGATCGAATATTTTCTTTACGATAAATATTAGAGAAAAAGTTTGAGTAAGAAGGTGTTGTTCACCACTCGTATATCGATTTTAAAAGGGCTAACGATTCTATTGACCGCCAGAAACTGCATAATATTCTAATCGAGCAGGGGATTCCAAACAAAATAGTAAATCTAGTCAAAATATGGTTGATTGAAACACTCAATAAAGTTAGAATCGGTAATAATTTATGCGAAAAGTTTGAGGTTCGGTCGGGATTAAAACAAGGTGATTCTCGTTCGCCTGTCCAGTTTAATTTGGTATTAGAACATGCCATTAGGGAGATAGTACATATCGAAAAAGGGTTGGATTTGGGTGGGACAACACCTATGCGGATGATCTAGTCTTGTTAAGAGAAGACCCAGAAACTATAAAACTAAATACGACAACGTTTATGAAAGCCGGTAAAAAACTAGGACTCGAAATAAACAAGAATAAGAGAAAATATATGGTTAGCTGTAAAAATAGCAATATTGCCGGCGATATCGATATAGAAGGGTCTACGATTACTAGAAAAAACGAAATTGAAAAGGAGATTAAGGTTAGACTGAAGGCGGGAAATGTCTATTGTTTTTCTGTGACATAACTACTTAGCTCGCACCTCTTGTCCCGAAACTTAAAAACTAGAATCTATAAAACCATTATCTTACCTATAGTTCTTTATGAATGTGAAACTTGGCTACATACATTAAGGAATGAGCAACGTCTTAAGGTTTTTGAACAAAGTATTGCTTAGAATATTCAGACCAAAGAAGGATGAGTTATACGGAGAGTTCAGACAATTACACAACGCCAAATTGCGTGACCTGTATCCGGTTAATATAATTGACGTGATTACATCACAGCGAATCAAATGAGCTTGTAAAACTGATGGGCTTAGTAACGAAAGAATTCCTAAAAGGTTAATATTTTCTGTACCGAATGGTAAATGTCCGAGGGTAGACCGAAGCGAAGGTGGGAAGATTGCGTTAAAGCTGATCTGAAGGGACTGGGTTTGGACGGCGAACGGTGGAGGGAGGTGTATAATAAGCGATTGGTGGTGTCGGCATTGAATCTTCCGGTTCGCTAAACCTTTTTATTATTTACTATATTTTTTTTTCTTTCTTTTTTATTTCCTTGAAGTAAACAGAAGGCTCACGAGTACTAACTATTATGAGATTTGGAAACATTTTATCTCACTTTAACAAGAGAATGATGTTTTTGTTCTACTGGGCGCTGATCTGTCCTATTCGGGTGCATGCTTCAAATATATTCGTAAACCCGTAAGAATAACGGTGGGAGGCTGAGGGAAATAAAAGCCTGATATCTTAAAAAAAAATCTGGAGAATATTTAGTGCTGTGAATGTTTGTGAAAACTGGAGAATGGCGAACGTGAAACTATATGAGCTATTTCATGAACCTCGTAAAGCTTAATCGTCTTCATGTTGCAGGAATGAAAAATAAAGACATATTTATAATTTTCTTGTATGAAAAAATTTACTAAGCTAAAGCTAGAAGACGGCCTAGACTCTTAGGTAAGATTTGACCGATGAGGCTAGATCGTACTGAAAGTCTGAGACTGAAGAATCAAGATGATCGAAACACATTACAAAAGCTTAGTGAAAATTTTAGGACCCTCATCGGGCTCTAGTGATCTGGAAGTAAGTAAGTATTCTAAAATTTTATTTGAATGATGTATTAAAAATTGCTTATGTGTTTCAGTAACAACGTGTGACTATTTATTCTAATTATTATTTGAATGAATTCGGATAAATTTATTTTGCTTTTGTGTAAAACTAATATAGTGGCATATTTAAAATGAAATAATTAATTTCGAGTTTTTTAACCAACGTCTAAGCTTAATATTAGTTGACTGGATAAAAATTGAAAAAAAGAACAAACCTCCATTAGTGTTTTCTTTTAACTTCACGGGAGGTTATTCATGTTGTTATAAGTTTCGTTAAAAAGTTTGTTGATGATAAGAGTTTAGGTTATATGTTCAAATATTTATTTTTTATTGTTAGTGTTCATTGACATTTATAATTAATATTCTCTAAAATTAATTTTAATTTATTGATGAGGAAATGGCAAATCATTATGATATACCAACTTGGTAAGTTTTCATTTTTATTTATTTGTTTGATTTAACTTTAAAATATGGTACATAAGTTATTATCTCTAAATAATTAGCAGAGATAATTATTTTCGGTTTGCTGATATTAAATGAGATACTGGTTATATCTGTTTGAATGAAAATTCTTCTAAGATTTCAAATTTAATAGAATATTTATTTATTATTTTTAAATATGATGGCATTTTTGGAATTCAATCAATCTGTTTTATTTTTTTAGCGATTTGTTTTTATTCAAATAGTTTTAGTATTTTATTAGTGGCTTCCAAACAGTTGTCTAGTGACATTATTGTTTTGAATTCTTTTATAATTTTTAAATCGCTGATTTCTTCTCTAAAATTTGCCTTGCATCAATTACCTCTGAGTATTTTATACTTTTCAATAATTATGGTTTGAGAAATGATTCATTAGTAAAGAAGGTCACTTAATAATTATGAATATACCATGTTCATACCAAATCATTGTTAATAGTTCATAACTTGATTGTTAAATTATCATCCTGTCATGTTATACTAATTTTAAAGCATATGTAAGTTTGAATGCGGGAAATCAAAGTTTTCTTGGTTATTCTGAGAATTTTTTAAAGTAATTTGGATTATAAAATTTAATTGCAATTTATTGGAAATTTAAAAATATCTAAATTCACTTTTAAATTTGAATGATTGAATATAAAAATAATTTTATTCGGAAACTGTAGCCCCATATGAATCATAACATAGCTCCATAATTATGAACATTAGTTTGCTTTGGAGTATACAAAATGATGCTTAATTCACTGTAAATTGCATTTGCAATTAGTTAGTTGATTGACTTATACAGTGTACAAAAGCAAGTAGATTTCACATGTTTGTGGAAGTTTCATTATGAAGTAGGTCTTGGAATAGGAGTTGTTTCAAAGAATTTGTGGACGAGGATTGACGTATGGAGGTAGGTAGAGAGTTGCAAAAGGAGGTAGCACAAATGATGAAGGATTGCTGAAGGGAATAGTTTTATGGAAGGGGATAAACCTATATGTTGAGATTTGGTATAGAGGAGCATAAAGTAAGGAGTTTTAAGTGTAGTGATAGGTTTTGGTTCTGAGGACTTGGAAAAGGAAAACAACAGAAAGGAATTGCCAGAGGGAAGTAGGAAAAATCCACTTGAAAGAGCTGTCTGGTTTTTAGAGGCATACAATCTTAGGAATTGTTTAAGGCAATTTATGGACTTGCGGATAATCTAGGAGATATGGTGATTCCAGGAAAGGTTCTGGTCATAGGTCACTCCAAGATTTTTGAGTATAGGGAAAAAATGAATGGGACAGTTAATGTGGTACAGTAGAGGGGAGCATGGTTGAGAACTAATGATGAGTCTAGACCCGGTTAGAATAGCCTTAGTTTTGTCTGCATTCTGCTTTTACTCATTTATTTCTGCCCATCTGTTGATGCAGCCAATTCCTCTTATAGGTTTCGGGTGGGTAGCCTCTGGCATCTCGGAAGGTTGGAATGATTGGTAAATTTGGAAAACATCAGCCTCTATATAGTTTTTAATGGGAGTGCTGAATGGAGGCAGCAAGATCACTAATATAAATAGAAAAAAGGGTCGAGTGTTAACTGAAGAGGTGCCAACGGAGGTTTGTTAGGAATTACAACTGTGGGAGAGATGTGATAAGAAGGAGAGAAACTATTTGAGAACACTATTTGATATGCACAGTCTTTGGAGTTTGGAAAGGAGGATCTTATGGTTGATGGAATCAAAGGCTTTGGAAAAGTCGAAAAGGATCAGGATAGAGACTTTGTTTATCTATGGAGGATTGGAGGTCTTGGGTAATCTTTAGCAAGGCAGATTGGGTGTAATAATGGGAATAGAAACCAGATTGTAAAGGAATATAATATAATATTGTAATGTTTATCCTATCATGATTTTTCTATTCAACTCTGATGGATTTTTTGGAACTAGGCTTCTCTTCTGATGGAAAGGCTTTACTTCATCATGGAGGATGATTTCCCTTATCTAGTAAGCTAGCGTAACTACCCGTACTATGAAGCTTTTGTGTACGGGTGGAAGGAACTAACTAGTAGGGGCTGATCATTTCATCCTCTTCCAGTGAATTAGAGGAATTAAGAGAATAATTGGTAGAAGTAGTGAGATACTTGTGTTGTTGAAAGACAGAGGAGAAAGGGAATTAATTAATGTTAAGTACAATAAATAATTACTATTATACAGTCGACTATCGATTATTTGAAATTCAAGGGACTTCAAGAAAAATTTGAATCATGAAGACTTCAAGTTATCAAGGAGTTTGAATTATCAAGAAGAAAAAAAAAACGAATTATCAAGAGTTTTTATTATATTTTTTAAAATATTTAAGAAGTTGGATAAATTGTTTATATAAATAGCCTCATGTAAAAAATAATTACTATGACCATTTCGAATTATAAAGAGGGGAAGTGGCCTAGTTCCAATTATAGAATCCCCCACCTCTTGCTACCAAAAGGATTTCGAGTTATCGAGCTATCAAAATACAGTATTTTTTCAATTTACCAAAGTTAACAACTGAAGAGTTCAAATTGTAGAAAAATTTTAATTATCAAGGTTCAAATTATCGAGAGTTGGCTGTAGTTTCATATTAACTGAAATGGTTTGTTATTTCACTCCTATTCCTTAGCAGTTTCAGTTTTGGCATTTTACTGATTGAGATTTATTTCTCTATTAATAATCAATAGCAAAACAGAGAAACACCGTCTATTTTAGCTCCTCACTTATTAAAAACTTTTTTTTTTTAAAAGCTTAATAAACCTAAGATTCTTAAGATACTAAAACATCTTTTATGGCTACCGATTATGTCAATGTCATCTGCATACCTAAGAATTATTGCAGTTCTATTGAAAATTGAATCTGCAACCTAGATTCCAGATCTCCTTTCAGGTATGTCTCTGAAGTATAAGATGGTATGCTGCATTTTTTTTGGAAGTGTTGCCGCTTGACATTCTTGATCAAACCTAGGTTCATCTCCTCTTTTTTCATCGGGTCTGAAGTATCTCATTTGCTAACCCAGTCATTGTTTCTTTACATGTCACCCAAGCCAATTTATTTTTGTTAGTCTGATCAGTGTGCCCCATGTGATTAGAAAACTGCTCTGAGATTTCAGAATCAGTAAGTTTTTGATATCTCATAGTTTGCTGCCTACGGGGAATAGAGATTTTTGCCCTTACTCTAGATATCAAGATATGATGGTCTGAGTCTGTATTTGTCCCTCTGTGGACTCTAAAATTCATTAATCTAAAAATGAATCTTGCACTCAACAGAATGTGGTCTGTTTGATTTGTAATATAATCATCATTTAAACCTCCAAGTTGCCATTTGTGTCCTTATATGACGGAACAGTGTTTATATGTCGGAACAGTGTGCTCCCTACTACTATGCATCTAGAGGCAGGAAAGTTTATGATTGCCATTGTCATTTTTCACATTGTGGATGCTGTGCTTACCAGTAATTGGCTGGATATTGACTCTTTCTCTACCTGAGCATTAAAGTTACCTAACACAATTTTCAAATCTGTTTCTAGAAACTGGTCAAAAGAATGTCTCTTTGTCTGCTTCCTCAGAAACTTTGATGGGGGCATGTATGCTTATAGTGCTATAATTTTGGAATTTCCCTTTTAGGTATATGCAGGAAATGTCAATGTCTTTCTCCAATCTGGAGGGCCAACGGTTATCTGCGGTACATTAACCATGTGATTTTAGTTCTTTTTTCTGGAAAATATACCTCTGTATATTACCAAATTAATAAACATTTTGTATGTCCTTGAGTAAATTTATTTGAGCCTTTTTAAACTTATTAGTCGAAAATATTAATATCAGAAAAAACATTCAAATAATTTAGATTTTCAAATATTTTTTGAGTTGTACTAAAATATTAGACCTAACCTAAGTTTGAAATAAAATTTTATGTTTCATTATATCACAGTAGAACCTCCTTTAACCAGTGCTTGATAATTTAAACCATTTGCTGTCCAAAATCACATTAAATAAAAATTGACATTTCAACTTTACAACCATTTTAATTGTACTGTTTACAAAACTACTATTTTTGGATATTTTCCATTATTTGTGATTCAAGGAAATATTTCTTTTAGATAATCCATATTAATTACTTCTCCTGCTTAACCTATGAACTCTCCTAACTAGGTCTAATAAGCAGGATTATACTGTAAATTCAACTGATAAGTAACAAAAAAACTAGACACATATTTTGAAATGTTATATTTTTTTATATTATGCACAATTATTATTCCTTGTTTTTCACATATAATTTGGTGTTGACCAAAATGATTGAGGACCATATTTGGTCTCATAAAAATTGTATTATTATATTTCAATATTATTTTACACTTATGAATTTCATGGCAATACTTGCAGTTCCCAATACTACTGGCTGTAGCATCCTTTCTGTTGTCATAATTGGTAGATCCAGTTACGGTGGAGAAGATTGAGATATTTTCAGTACCGTTTTGTTGCAGAATTACATTATTATACTACTTTCAGCTATTTTATTCTTTCCCCTGTTTTTTAAATTTTAGATTAGAAATTTAAACATGACCTTGCCTCCCCAAGAAAAGTTAGTTGGTAAGTAAAAGTTGTGTATTGCAATGCACACCATCTTAACCTCTTACTACCCTCCTCTTAAGTAAATTGAATCTGTCAATTTGGATGTCATTTCCATGAAAATACAATATAGACTCTTGAAAGGTGTTCTAGCCTTATTATTATTTAGTTTGTCAATACTTTAAAAAAGGTTTTTTCCTAGAGTAGTAGAATCAGTTTAAACCACTGATGTAAGTTTTTGTAGTGCTATTGTATATTATGAAACTTCATTACTATACTACATTTGCTACTCCCCACCACCTCTACTAGTATCTATTACTCTATTATTCAGTTGACCAGTTGCTTTACGATGACTGTTTCCCAAGTGTAATAACACAATCGGCAGAGACGATAAATCTA